CAACTGACCCCCGTTAGCTCGACTCCGTTGCACAACGTTCCCGCTATCAGGGTGTCCCAATCAGTTAGGCGACCAGTAATTAGCGGAGCAAAATCAATACGTTCCCAATGCGTGCCAGGTCGCAAAGCAGCAATTGTCTTTTTCTGGCTAAGGACGAGGATGCGGGACGGTCACAATCGCATTGTCCGGCACTATCAAATCGACACAAGGACGTGCAGCTGCCAAATTTCTCACGAAACGCACAAGGACTACAAAAGTACACGGCATTTCGAAAAAGTCAATTGAGTGCTGGCGGCATTTACAAAAGTCAAGTGCAGCAGTGCGGTGATTGTGGTTCTGTAAGGCAAAGGCGCTCGTAAAAAGGAGGCGGACCCAGAAGGAACAGCCAGCGGGGAATAAATTAACCTGGGTAGGTGCCATATTTTCTATAGTATGCTGCGGCTTCTGCTAATTTCCGATGTTAAGTGCCAGCTGAAATGCTTTTAATTAAATTTCCTGTTCAATACTCGTACAAGAACGCTCTGAATAGTTCTAAGCTCGCCATCCACAAGAAACTGTTGCACGCTCAGCCACAAAATGTTTGAGGAGCAAAAACAAGGGGACAAGGCAAGCAATTTGCAATACTCACAATTTTACAGAAGAAACAGCAGCAGCACACACACACACACAAACACACACGCACATGAACACAGAAGCATTCACACAGACATTGACGTCTGGACAACAAAATGGCGCTGGCTGCGAACAGTTGGCACATGGAGCGGAAATGCAGCTGGAGTTCGCATTGCGTTCCGTTTTTGTTGTTTTTAGTACCACGGCATGAATATTCATGACGGCAGTGGGTTCGACGGTCGGTGGGTGGGTCGGTGGTTCGATGGTTCGGTCGCTCAGTTGGTCTGTTGGTCGCTCAGTTGGCGGTGCAGAGGCAGTCATTCATTCATTCGTGATTTCACGCAACCACGGCAGCAGACAAAACATGAAACCAAATAAATAAACAAATGTCAGCAGAGTGTAGTTGGCAATGTCGGCTGCGTCGGCATCGGTGGCGGGCTTCAAGAAATTGGCGTGAAAATAAATCAAGAAACAAATTGGAAAATTTGTTATTTCTACAGCAGAACACAACACAGCACAGACACAAAAGCGGCAACACTTTGATGTCTCTTGCTTGCCAGCTTGTGGGCGCACTTGTGGGCAGGTTCTGGAAACAATTTGACCCATGTTCAAAGAGTTTGGCAGTTATGTACAAGTGGAGGGCTTGAGTGCGCCAATAACTTCTAAAAAGTGAAACTATATTGCAAATTAAAATAACAAACTCTGCATATGGATTTATATAATAAAATACAGAGTCGATTCCTAATTAAACTACTACTAACTAAGAAGTCTGCCATAAACATAATCGCATTTTGGAAAGAATCGAATTAAAAAACCAACTGCAACACATTGGCAAATGAAATGAGATGAAATTGTTATATAATATGTATTATTTTATGAGGAAATTTATTAAAATTGTTATGGAGATGTGGAGGGCTTGAGTGCGCCAACAACTTCTAAAAAGTGAAACAAGATTGGAAATTAAAATAGTAAACTCTGCATGTATATGGATATGGATTCAGAAAGTAATATGTCGAGTCGATTCCTCATTAAACCACTGCTAACTAAGCAGTCTTTCAAAAACATTAACAAATTTTGGAAAGAATTTAATTTGAAACCGATTTCAACTATTTGTTATATAAAATGATATTTAATTGTTATATAATATTATTTTATTTTGAAATGTTTGAAAATTTTTATGGACAAGTGGAGAGCTTAAGTAAAAACAAGAGAGAACGCTACAGTCGAGCAAGCCCGACAGTGTAATACCCTGTACCCAGGTAAACTTCCGTCGTTGAGTTAATTGCGCCCATAGCAGCAGCAAAAAGAGGAAGAAGAAGAGCGAACTTGTTGCTGCAGTTTGTGGGGGTTGTACTGTAGAGAATTTGTTTCGCTAATAACTTTTCTTAGAATTGATAGAATTAAATAAAATTTTGAACAACAGTAGACAATTATATATAAATTATGTGTGCAAAGTTTGGTTAAGGTAGCATTTGAAATGTGAACGCTATTGACGAAATTCTGTAGCGTGGGAAGGGGGGGGGGGGGGGGGGGAAGGGAGGGAAATTAAAAAAAAACATAAACTCGTCCTTACTCGGATCTAGGAGAATCTGGATGCCAACTTTGGTTATTCTAGCTTTTATAGTTTCTGAGATCCTCGCGTTCATCCAGACGGACGGACAGACGGACGGACATGTCTAGATCGATTTCTCTCGTCATGCTGATCAAGAATATATATACTTTATGGGGTCGGAGATGCTTCCTTCTGTATGTTACATACTTTGCACAAACCTAATATACCCTTTTTACCCTACGGGTACAGGGTATAAAAAACATTTCTAAAACTACTTTGATTAGAAATTAAAATAATAAACTCTGTATGAGACTATATGGATTCATAAAGTAAAATGTGGAGTCGATTCCTAATTAAACTACTGCTAAGTAAGAAGTCTGTTACAAACATAAACAAATTATTAAAAGAATCGAATTTATAACCATTGCGCATATGTATTACATATGTATGTAGGTTTGAAATACAAATTAGTTTATTTGGGATATTGTCTTGTAGTATACATTAAAACTTATATGAATAGTTAAAATAGAAGGAATGCGCAGCACTTTCGCGAACAACACTTCAAACTGGCCTTGGCAACAACTATTGTCTTTTTAAATACTCAACACGAACACTCACTGTGTACACACTGACCCGCAACTCTCAAGCCACTCACTCCAGCCACTCAACTCAAGCGAATAAATTCTTCTCCTTTCGTGTTCGATTCTTTAGCCTATCGATACTCGCCGATGCCGTATTACACCAGGGTTGCTGGACTTATTCCCCACATCCTACATTCTTCTAGTACTGTTCACGCTGATAAACATCCATACATGACCCTGGCGGAATCTAGTTTTGGGTATAGGTATTTCAGTGTTGTGCTGGTTCGGTTGTAACAATCTCTATTCTTTGTATTTGTTATAGATTTAGTCGAACAGCTGTTCTTAGACGTTCCAAAACTACGAAAAGCACAAGCATACACTTTTCTTAAATAACAGAACTAATCCAAAAACTGATCAAAATTATCAGTAATAATAATAATAATAAGAAACAAATTTAAATGTTCTAAATATTGGAAGTTAATTGGGTTACAAATCTGACAGAAGGCCAATGCACCGCGAACAATTTAATATGTAAGTACGATTACTTACACGATTGGTTACAGAGCAACCTTTTTTTCGGCTTTAAATTTTTCCAACGGAAGAAAAAAGAAGAGGACAGCCAAAGGGCTGCAATTATCCTATAAAATTGTCCCATTCAACAGCTGAAATCGAACTGCAGTGGCGGTTACAGTGGGAGAAAGTCAGCAGCTCGCTCTTCTCTCCAGTGATGGCCAATTAAAATGTCCTTTAAGCATTTTGCAATTTAATTAACACGCAAAGCAGAAAATATACACAATAAAAGGCAGAAGAGGGCATCATAAGAGCATGAAATCGTTTATTTAATTGTAAAATATACATTTTTAAATAATAGCCATTAAAATGCAGTAGCCGCCGATGTCGGGTTGCTTAAGCCAGTCACCCAGCCGGCACAGACGCGCACATTTCGGACTGCCAAAGGTAATCAAGTGCGGACCAATGTCCGAGCTCCGCTGTTAATGTTGCCCATGTGCAATGTGTGCGTCTGGGTGGGGTCAGCCTGCCTTTGAACCCAGCATTGACTCACTCCTCCTCCATGCAAATAGGACTTTCCACCAACTCAGCCAACATGGAGCATTTACTTTTGAGTGCGTTGCGCTCATTTAAATGCAAATTTAAATGAAATTTTAATCCAGTTTAAGGGCAGCCCACACATACACACAAGTATGTCTTTGATGTTGCACAATTCGATGTGTCAGTGTGTATGTGAATGTGAATGTGAGTGAGTCGCCATTGTGTGCTTTTGCCCCGAACGACGCATCGATTGATGCTGCGTTTTCAGGTTCGATATGGAGACCGAGCACAGATGCGAATATATGGCCATTGTAATGAGCAGGCTTGTTGCATGTCGTCCATACTCGCACACAATACATACACACGTATACCCACTATAACAATAAATGTAGCTGCTGTAAGCCGGCAAGGTGAACTTAAAAACTGCCGGCGTTTACATGAAGTAGTCGAATCCATAGGGAGGAACTCGTAGTTTCATGTGATGAGGGTGCACAACCAGCAGATAGCAACCAGCATGAAAGAATGACGGCTGAGCAGATAATAAGAAATTCGACAAACTTCTTATACTTACACCCTTCACTGAAAAGTCGAAAACTATATTGTTTCTGGTTTGTTAGCGCATTGTGGACCACAACTAGCACACAGGTACAATGGAACGCATCTAAATCCGAATCGGTCCATCCTCCTTCCATACTCTTAGAGCTATAGTGATGAAAGTTTCCGCTGGGGCTTCATGAATCGCCTACACATACTATTAAATGAAATTAATTAATTGAATGAAACGCTCTTCAGTGTGTATCAGAGAACTGCAACGGGTATTACACTCGAGTGTTTACTCGTACGCGATATGTTTCTTTTACTTCGGTTCGGTGACAAGAAACGATGGGTTGAAAACGAGCCCGCAACGAACACTCAGGTCGAATCAAAACTGCAAAAACTTAGAAATTATCTATAATGACCGAAAGTTTTTGCCGGCATGCAAGCAATGTCGTATTCCCAATCATGCCTGCATGACCGAAATATTCGATAGAGCTCGGGTAGTTCCCGAGTCATGACACCCGGTACTTGCATTTGCAAACAAAACTATTAGTGAATAGAAATGCTTCCTTGTTTATAAAAAAAAGTCATGCCATATATCGAGTATACGTTGCAGGTCTAAGCGTGAGCGTGAGAATACCAGTTGGACATTCTTTAAAATTATCATGCGCTTTTCATATATTTTTATTTTGTATGTGTTCTTACTTATTTTCACTTTTTTAATCAGTTATAACCTTAACATGCTTCCGGCAACTTCCAGTACCATTTTTTCGTGATCATCGGAGTTATTCTCTATATTTATGCGAATTACACTGCCCTGTCATGTCTGGTGGGAGAACTGGCGCATGTCTGAGCAAGTTGAAGTCACAGCGCTTGCAGTAGACCGCCTGTTCGGATCGGGGCTCAAAACGCTTGTCACATATAGCGCAGGACTTGGCGGGCAGACGGCACTTTAAGCAGCGATGTTCCTGTGCCGACAGATCATCCCATCCACAACGACGGTAGCAGTTCGTGCAACAATACAGCTTGTTATCCATCGTCCTTCAACTTAATAAGGGTTAATTAAATATGTGATATCAAAAAATTTGCAAAAGTCACCTGTATTTTTATTGCTGCTTTTATTTTATAATTTTAATTGCAGAACTATTGACACTCAAATACAAGTTTACTATGATGGCCCATTATACTTGAACTTTTCTATTCAAAGTTCAAAGGTACAATATGATTTTCGAATATGTTAATAAAAAAAAAAAACTAGAAAGGAATGCTAAAGTCGAGCAGGCTCAAATCTTAAATACCCTGTACCTCAGACCAATAAGGTAAAAATGAAAAAAATATTTAATTAATTAATTCCATTCGTATAATCGCCTATATCTCGGAGACTATAAGACCTAGGAACACCAAATTTTAGTCCAAGATGCCTTATATGAATACGCAGAAAATTTGTATTTTGGAATTTCCCTCCCTCCCCACTCTCCCAAGCAAATCGTAACTCCCGTAATTCTTGGAATTTCGAACTCAAATTTTGCAAATTCCCCCAGTTAGTGCCAGTTAGTTATAGCCATAAATATATTTGCTGCCCAAGCGCTGCCCGCGGCTGTTGTTGATACTGGTGCTTTGGTTGACTGCGAACATGCTTACACAGACACGAATAGATGCGCATAGGCATACATAAACTCACACAGACGCAATTGCTAAGCAAATGTGCAATTATACACCCTTTACGTGAGTTCGAATACCGAAAGAGGTAAAATCGTACCAAATTTTTTTTTAATTTTCTTAATTTTTTAAAGTTCTATAATTATTGCCAACATATGTACAGAGTACTTCAAAATCGGGACACCCGACTTTAGCTTTTTTACTTGTTTTTTAATACGAACGAATCAATCGGCTTAACAAATATTTCAAATCAAGCAGTATGGTTTTTATGTGAACCTTCACATAAATAAAGGTTAATCCCAGATCCAAGACCAGAAATTACAATTCTTATAAGAACTCGGTTAAATATTACCAGAATAGTTTAAAGCAATAGCTTCATCTACGTCAATAGCTTCCTAGAGATGCTTTATATAATACACATTATTTAAGCTATTGGTATCCGATAGAGTGAAGTTCCAAGTTCAATGGAATTAAATTTAGATCCCTATTAAATATTTACCCACTACGTCAATTTAGTCACTTTTTAATAAATATACTTGTACATACATATGTAAAGTCTGAAACATTTATCTTCGCCACGTACCTTCTTTGCTTTAAATCTCTTCAAAAAACGACGCACCGCCTTAATTTGAGGTAGGCTTTTTATCCAAAGTAATGGGGAGAGGCTAGAGTTGTCTCTGTTGCCCTATATAAATATGTATGTGTTCAAGGTACTACAAGTATTTTCTGTGTGCAATAACACGCCACGGCGCCAAGCACTCTAAAAATTTGACTATCCAATTAGGAATTTTACATCTACCAGCCATTGGCGCGAGTCCTTGCACATGTGGTGCCCTCTGAATGCTTGTTAGCGTAACATTAACCAAAATCCGTACTTTTGAGTTAAGCAACTGATAAGTATACTTATACACGTATGTATGTAGACCTGACAGTTCATTGAATGGGATATACTATACTCATACATGTAGACTCATTACTACCGATGCACACACACAAATGCCGATACTTATGCATATATAGTATACAATACAAGTATATGATATATTACGCATTGAAAAAGCAATAATAATTTATGACATAAAAGCATATTAAACATGTTGAATGCGACGCGGATTTCAGTGCTTAATGAAGCGCAAATTGATACGAAATCAGCAGTGCACAGCTTAATATTTTAATATGAGTTCTACTTTTAATGATCCTGACTAGCGCTGCAGTGACTTTGTTTTTCCATTTACAGTTTCAAGCCATTACGGTTCTCACAAAAATGCAGAACCAGGAAACTGAGGAAGGCGGAGACAACCAGTGGATGCTGATGGACAGCACCAATGGCGATGGAAGTGGCACGAGTGGTGTGAGCTACCAGAGTGACTCTTTAACAGCCTCAACGGCATCGCTGCTCGAACAGCACAGACACGAACGAGGCAAGGATATGCATTACCCAACAATATCAACAACAACAACAACGAGCCGACTGAGGCAACAACCAGGACAGGGATTGCTACTTTTTCCAGGCATAGCACAAAGGCATCAACTAGAGCATAGACGCCGGCATAATCATAATCCTATTGCGCCGACGTCTGCCTCTAAACAGGCTATGTCGACGGTTTCGATGTCCCGCCTAGATGCCACTGTCGGCACCAGTTGCAATAACAGTAACAGCAGCAGTAACGTTGCCATTAATCAGCGCAGTGTGCGATGCATACGCCGGCCGCCACTGTGGCAAGCAGAGTCAGTGGCAACACCAAAGCCCAACTCAAAATTGGAACAGGAACAGGAAGAGGGAAAGGGGATAGAGGACTCGACAGTGGAAGAGTGTGAGGAGCTGTCGCTAGAGCCAATGGCATTGAACAGTGAAGAGTCCGCCTGCTTAACAAAGGTCCGTGCGTTCATAATCGAGTTTCTGCAGGGCTCCTCCATACATGGCTTCATCTATTTGGCTAAAATCGGTTTGAATTTTGTCGAGCGGTGAGTTTTTCAATACCATTGAGTTAGTTTGTAATGGCAACACTTGATACGGACATTGTTGTTGTTGCTGCTGCTGGCATTGTTGGCTTGTTTGTCAAAGAGTTTTGGAAAGCTGCAAGCCCAGACTGAGATTAAGGCCAAACACAAAGGCATTTTGTTTTTCGACGCAATGCGTGACAATTCATTTGGGAGAGATGTCGGTGAATGTCATCGATCTCCTTTTATCTTCCTTTTATGTTGTAGTGTGTATGCTAGTTGCCTGTAATGCATTTACGAGAAGGCATGGCGTCCTTGTTGCTAATGGGTTTGATGCAGCGGCAAAGTCAAAATCACAAACACAATTGCATTTACATATGAACACTTGCATCAGCTTTTGACAATTACATACAGTCTGCATCTGAGGCAGCTTTTTAAAAGACATACCAACTTGATTTATTCACACAGAACAAGAAAAGGCTGCTTTAAAATTAATTATTGAGGAGTTGCCTACGTCCTATTCAATTAAATGTTATAATATTATAACATAATATAATTTAAATCAAAATAAATCTGAGCGAGAATTCTTTTTTCATTTAAATAAAATTGATAGTGCATCGCAATTCAGGGAAAATTTAAAGTTGTTAAAAAATTTCTTCAAAAATAAGGTACTAACAATATAAAATGTTCGAAGTGAAAAATAATACATTAAATTAAACTCTAAATTGTATATAATGGGATAAGTGGGTTAATCAAATCGTCCTAAAATGTTTTCAATGAAAGTTGTATGTTTTTGTGAGTAGTGCAGGAATTTATAAGAATTTTTCTTGTCGCACTAGGAAGTAACAATAGTAAATAAATAAACAAATATATCAAATAATAGTAATAAATTCATAAGTAAATTTAACTAAACACATACGCGACTCGTCTATTAGGGTATAATAGTTTTGTGCGAATGTTCGAAATTATACCTAAGTAATTATTAATCAGTCTCGGAAGATAAACTATTGTGTATGAATTGAAACATATGTGCATACAAGTACGTTTACATTTAAGTAAGTCATTATACATTTCTCAGTTGGAACCGATTTCTAATAAGTTTAAAATCTTTGACAGTAACTCATGATGTTGATATATGAAGTAGTGTAGTCGCATGAACAGAACAGAACCGAACCTCTACGCTTGATTAATTTACAATCAACATTAAACTTAAGCCTCATTAGAGCCTAGTCCGAACTTAACCTTAAGCTAAAATTGGTCGTGGTTGTACCCTACCCATAGAACTAAATCGCAGCCAAAAACTATAAGTCGGCTGCTTAAAATTGTTTCAAGACACGTGCACGTGCAGCCAAAATACCTCATCGTGTTACACTATATTCAGACAGGACCAAAGGGGTTACCTCCCTCAAAGCCTAAGCCCACTCGCCTTGCCTGGCTGTGTTCGCCATTTTCATGCATAAAATTACATACGAGAAATAAATTTTTCTACATCTTCGGGTTGGGCGGTGGCGAGTAATATTTTGTTGCTGGAATCTGCGGCAATAAATCCTTAAAACTGACATGACATGACAAACAGGATTACATACGGGCAGCCTGTAAGTTCTGCCACCATCAGCAGCAGCAGCAGCAAGGATTAAATTGGTAACACACTCCAAATGCAAACAACGAAAAGCTGCCTCCCCCACTCCGCCCCACTTCTCCCCACTCCGACTGACTGTGCGTGTCTGCATCTAAGAGTATACATATGCGTGCACAAGGATATGTGCCTGTCAGCACAATAAAAATGGGCCAGCTGAGGGTTAATTAGTGGATAACATTTTTTGGGTGCACACACTCTCCAATACCCCACTGCCAGACAGCGCCAGTCAGACAAACTTCACGCTGGACACGCTCAATTACAATTGTTGTTACTTTTTGGGGCATTGTGCGCCAAATAAGCTCAAGTGACAGCTATATATATATATATTTATATATATGTGTGTTTGTGTGCGTATACACGCAACATTCATCCTGCTCTTTTAATTAATAGAGAGCAAATGGTTCGTGTGTGCTTAGCATTTTATTCATTTTCACTTTGATTTATTTATTGATTATACGTGGACCTATATACTATGTATATACACATGTACATATATACATTTGCTGGATCTGATACCGGTAGTTATGCATTCGAGTATTACTTGTAGACTCCAACTCTTGTTTCACTGCCTTGCGCCAAATTGTGTGCATTGTCATGACAAAAAATCCGCTTGGGACGCTTTAATTTCTGGATTATGCAGCAGTAACAGAAGCTCCACGTTTAACCTCAACTTCACAAAAAATCCCGTATTGTGGGAAAAATAGCATGCTTCCATGTTCTGGGGGCTCTGCCGCGGCTTGTGTCGCTGACATGTGATAACCTCAATTTAAAAGTGTTGATATGGCAACTACTACCTATGAGTAGCTGGGTATGTCGGCGTCCTGCGTGGTCGCGGGGGTGACGCATTTGACTGCATAATCCTTAGCTCGAAATGCAGACGTGTTAGTATTTGTGTGAATGCGTGCCTCAGTGAGCTGCGCTAAGCACCCATATACGCCATATGCCAGCCTAGTGAGCTCAGCTTATCAGTTTCACTTTAATGCAAAACAAGAAAGGAATGCTAGAATCTTGCGGGCTCAACTCTCAAATACCCTGTACCCACTCTCACAAAGAGGAACGTACTCTAAAAAAAGAGCTATTTTTAAAATTAAACAAATATTTATTAAATAGTGGAGACATGAGTTCATGTACAGTTTCAATAGGCAAACATATCCATCAGGATCGTGTCTCTGCTTGTCACAGAATACCCTGTACCCGAAGGTTAAAAAGTAAGTATATTTACTAATTCTTAATCCATCTGTCTGGATGAACGCCTGGATTCAGACTCTGGACTTAGGCACTCTCTATGTAGAATTTCCATATCCTCAGGCAAAACGGGATTGTTTTATTTTCCTCACTCGACTGCACTTAGAATTCTATTTTATTATTTAAAACAATAGAGAACGCTACGAGCAAGCCCGGCAGTGAAATATCCAGTACCCTGATAATCTTCGGGCTAGTTATTTGCGCCCGTAGCAGAAGAAAAAAGACAATTGGGATGAATTTTGAAACAAGTATAGTAGATATTTGTATATAAATTACATGTGCAATGTTTGGTTTACGAAGCTTTTGAAATGTGGACAGTATTGACGAAATTCTATATCTGGATCAAAACAATAAAATAAATTCGTATAGACTACGGACTATGACTCTCTACATACAAAGTTTGGTTAATGTGCGCTCAGCCGTTTCCGAAATGCAGGCGTTCATCCAGACGGATGTCATTCTGATTAAGAATATGCATATATACTTTATGGGATCGGAGAGTCTTCCCTCTGCCTGTCACATACTTTTCCCAAACCCGGTAGGGGCACAGGGTATAAAAAATAATTGAGCGCGATTAAAGCAAACTTATTGAGAGTTACGAAACATTAGTTGCTTTTTGCTTTGCAGAGTAATGTACAATTTATGTGTACAAGTATGTAATTATGTGACCTCTGCTCTGCCGGCATCTGATGACCAAACAGGAGACAAAATGCATGTTACATGCACACATTGAAAAGGGTGGGACATACCGCTAGTGTATAGTACTTGTATAACATAAAGTCAGCATTAATTGCCTAGAAAAAAGAACACTGTTTTATATCGGTATAGTAAATACGGACAAAGCTTTCGAAATTAATTAAATAAACAATCATATAAAATATAATAATATCAATAAATATGAATATTACTTATACTTATACTTATATAGTACATATGTATGCAAATATGTGCTCGAGTATTCTGTATCTGTACATACTTTGTGTACGCGAAACAGTCGATTAAATAAAACATTTTATTTAGCATTGCAAACTACAAATACTTGTATGATGAATTCTGGTTTTAAGAGCGTGGTCAGCGGTCTCTGACAACAATTATTTTACTTACTAAGAACAAAGGCAAGTGATTGACTACATTTGTAGCTTGTTTCAATTTGTACTCTGGAAAATAGTCAGAAATCATAGAAGCGTTGGGTCTTAAATATTTTATCGCCCAACTGCCAATCTCTTTTTCCTAACCCATCCAAACATTTCCCTTATTACAACATACGCATGCATCAGTGAACTTCAGTCACGCATAAACTTTGCAAATAGACAGACATACGAGTATAGGCAGCCATCCAGTTTGTCTGGCTGTCAGTCCCTCGTATAAAGTATGAGTACTAAGGAATTCGGTGGATTTTTTCATGCAAACAGAATATTTCCAAAACATTTCATTCCCAAAAAGTTGACGAAATGCCGGCGCTGCGGGACTGACGCGACGATTGGCGGCTCCCATGAAAATTCCAGGCGAGTTCTTGAAATAGAAAACAACACGCCAAGGAGACAATATGAAATCATTTTAGGATGCAATGCAGAGGAAGTTTCAAAGGATATGTTTGAAAATTAAAAGCCAAGTAGCGAACCCATATGACTGTGTGTGTGTGTGTGTGTGTGTGTATGGAAGTGTGTGTGTGGTACGATTGTATCAAAATCATGTGTTTGTGTGTCTCTACATGTGTCGACATAGCTGAAAGCTTTATGAGCCATTGCTGTGGCGTCAAAATGTCATTGTCGTCGCCATGTTTCCACAAAATACCAAACTGACTTTCGACTGCTGCTGCCGCTGCCCGAATCTGCCGACTTTTACGCTTTGTGTGTGCGTGTGTGTGTGTGTGTGTGTGTGTGTGTGTGTGTGTGTGTGTGTGTGTGTGTGTGTGTGTGCTTCTTTTCGAGTGGAGTCTGTATCTATATGCGTAGATTGAACGTCTTTTTATATTTGGCGTCGCACATGCAGTCCCCTTTGTTGCTGGGAGAGCAAGGGTTGGCGACATGGCCGCGTTCATTGACTTCATCCAACTTGCCCATAATTCTCCTTCCGGCATATTTCGCATAATGCTTTAAAAATTTACACGCAATAGATTTTTATGTGCCTTGGCAGCGTACAACAAAAAAAACCCGAACATTGTCGTATATCATTTTTGACTCGCGCAACTTTTTTATACGCATCCTCTTCCTTTTCAGCATGCTCTGGTTCGCTTTCATATGCATTGCACTCTTCAGCATTATGTCGCTGAGCAAACGCACTTGGCACCGGTTCCAGACCTCTCCCATGGTCATTTCCATGGATCGAAACAAGCTGGTGTGGAACACGAGCTTCCCATCGTTGACTGTCTGTCCCCATAAACGGATCGATGATCTAAAAGTAGATGAATATATTCTGTAAGTTGGTGAGCCCTTGTATTAATACATATACAGAATCTTTTTAGAAATAAGTAAGTTTTGTTCTATTTTGTAAACACAGATCGTAGAAGAACTAAATTCTTTAAAGTTTTTTGGACCATTTTTTGATCAAATATCTTGTGAACAAGATTTTGCAGTTTCTTTATTTTTGCACATTTTTAAATTTCTCCATTTGCCATTTGAGTTTTTTGAGAATTCGGGTTTCGTCTTCAGGATTAGCTCTTGGGGCCTGGCACAGCTAAAAGAGCTAACCCCACAATAAAACATGATTTAAAAAATTACTTACAGACTTAGAATTCTGTACGAGTGGACCCATATGTACGCGGAATCATTTTTAAAAGACCCTCCGTTTATAACTATGTATACCTTTCAGCGCACATGAGGATCAATTCGAAGATGAGAACGATCAGGATAACTTTCGCGATTTTATTGTTAAGCTTGCCAGCCTCACGTACGACAACCTCGAAACTCTGCCATTAAACAAGTCATATGGCATACCAAGCAACAAGTACCTGGACCTACTCTATGACTTGAAATGGCCCTTCGAGCCGGAAATCAGCAGCGGAGCCGCCGTCAAAATGTTTATATACGAGACCCAAACGGAATTCGGAATTTGTCATTCGGTGAACTCAATGGTCGCCCGTTACAATTCCTTCGAGTGAGTAAACAATAGCGAAACAACCCCCTGAAATTGTAAAATCACACTCTGACCTGAGCAGTTACTGGCGTGCGGGGGACTGGAGCATAATGGAGCATGGCGACCGAGTGACGGTGCACCCGTTGGATGGCGAGATCTATGCACAAATCATAAATCTGTCCACCGCCTACGATGTGTATTTCCACGGCGCGGGCGATGTGCCAAGCATATCCAAGCAGCGTTACACTTTTCCGGAGAGCGACTACACCACTGTGGAGCTGATTGCCCTGGAGATCTATACAAATGAGGAGGCCAGAGCGTGAGTTGCTACAAACGCAGCACATATAAGTACATTTATTACTGTTCAAGTGGATGGGAATACTAATGGTGCTACATTTATTTAAATACGAACAATTCATTAGAAAGTTCGCTAGGGAAACCTCTTCAGTATGTCAACATACTTGTATGTACCTGCGATTGCCCGTCAATCATTCGGCTTCGTTCTCAGTATGTCAACATACTTGTATGTACCTGCGATTGCCCGTCAATCATTCGGCTTCGTTCTTAGAGTAATACATGATGAAGAAAACTAGGGTTAAGGTTCTAAAAGCGATAGAAGTCACAATCTAATATTCATAGATGTATTTCACACTGACTGTAACGGCATCAAGAACAGTTTAAGTAATAATTTTTAGATCAAACGAGAACTATCAAGGACAATGAGAACAAGTTCCAAAGTCTAAAAGCATTTTGCAATCTCGAAATACTTTTGTAATCGATCCTTGAAATATAATTATAAAGAACGTTTATAATTTTTTGGTCAATCTCGAACTTTATAGTATATTTTACTATATATTCTCAACACCTTTTGTTTTCATAATCGAATTGAGTGTGCAATCACGAATATAATCGTTGAATTGTTGCGGTTCAAGAACTTACTTTAATTATGCACTTAACCCGTTTTAAGCAAAAAAAAAAAAAAAAAAAAAAAAAAAAAAAAAAAAAAACAACTAATTAATCAGTGTATTTTGTAATTCTCCTTGATTTAAGCAGACTCAAATAGGGAACACTATAATGTACAACACAGCTTATACAGAAGTCCAAGCGGTCTAAATATATTTGAAATATATTTTTCTTGTGTATAGGAATTCAATCCAGCATTAATTAGTGTCACTGTCAAAATCAACAAGTTTTCACTTTAGATTAGAAATATTTTTGTATTTATGAGTATTTGTTGATTATTCAATACTTTAAAAAATATAGTGCACACATGTAGAGATAGACTTTATTGAACTTCATTTCACTATGATTTGCTAGTTAAGTGTTTTCTTGACTTATCTTGAAAATAATGTGTGTTCCTAAATCTATACAATTTTCAACAGGTTTAAAAAATTATGAAATTCTTTTTAGCAATATAAGCTGATAATAGCTTAGATTTCTCTATAGATTTTAAAACTTCTCTTTGTTAATGTCCCTAGCTTCACCACCAAACAACGCCAGTGCCGCTTTCAGTACGAGGCTGAGGATATGCAAACCGCGCCCATTTACAGCTTCGGACTCTGCCTCTCCGAGTGCCGCATGTTCTTTTCCCTCCGCATATGCGGCTGTGTGCCCCACTTCTATCGCAATCGCTGTGAGTGCTGCCCAAATAGATTCTCCTGCTGCTGTTATGTCCCAGGAAATATGAAAAACTTTCCAACTTTAATAACGCATTTTCATTTTTCGCGCTTAATTTTTGGTTGCCGGCTCCACTCGCCACATAGTTGCACTTAATTGGTTTCATTAAACTTAACTTTTATGTGTCGACGTTGACGCGGTCATAAAATGTTTAAATAGTTTACTTTTTATGTTTATCTGCTTGCCACACACAAACACACCCAACCACACCCAACCACATACCATGCACACTCAGTGCGCAACGGGCGGCTGCTGCCGGTCTGTGGTCTGGAGGGAATCGGTTGCTTGGTCAACATTAAACGTGAGTATTTTATGGTCCGCGCATGGAAATATTTTTGAATTGTTCCGCCGAAATTCGATTTGAATTTGTGAAAAATTTCATTAAACTGGAGCAGCAGGACGTGACCATATTTTTTTCCTAAGCTTAGTAAATAACGTCACCTGACATTTTACATGATTATGATGATGATGGCAAGTATTAGTTTGCTTATCGAAGCACCTTTTGGCTTGAGCAAGAAATACCAAAGGACATTTGAGAGTTAAAGACCACTTTAACGGAAAATTTCTCACTGCAAACTTTCATCAATTATGTGTTTCCATTGCATTGAAATAAATATGCTAAACGATTTCTTTATGTGGTATGTGGTTATTATGACGAAATTTCACATGAGTGTAGATGATGGAGTGCAAAATTGTTGAGTAAAAATTCGAGAATCACTGAAGTTGTGAAGAGTCTCTCTCTTATAGCGGGGGAATAGGGGGATGCATCAGAAAAAAACTCAAACATTTATACTTTCTGAGATCATACAAACAGACGGACACCTACATTTCATGTATATTGTATAAATACTATTTAAGCAATATTAAAATATGATTTTTATGGTGTATTTAACACAGACCGGGCTTATAGAACATAATATAAATTAATTCTGAATACAGCACCATTCAGATTCTTAAAATGAAAGCTTTGGTTGAATATTTTGGTTACCAGAATTATTTCCTAATTGCAGATTGAGTTTCGGCTTTATTTCAATGTTGCATTATTCACATATCTATTTTATTTGCAGGCGAAATCATTTCACTGAAATCGGATAGATACAAAATCAATTGCAATTGTTTGGCCAACTGCGATGACTCTAATTTTTTCGTGCAGTCCTATGTGAGTACGAGTGCATAGTTAGTACGTAGTTGCCAAAGGCAAAGTCCCAACAGCAGTAACAATAAACGAACAAACTTTCGAATGTAAAACATGCTTTCAAAATGTTTAAATGTTTACGGCTGTCCGACAGACACAGACACAGATACAGACACAGACACAGACGCATCTAGCGGTCGTTAAAAGTGCTATGCCATTACAGACTGAGGCTGCAGACGCATTTCAAGTGGAAAAAGATGCTTCGTCGACGGAGGCGGTGGTAATGGCACCGGCCCCTGTGCATTTGCTTTAAGCAAACACAAAAAAATATATATTTATAAATATATAAAAATGTGGGCAGGCAGGCAAGGCAGTGAATTTTTAAGCCGGACCATAAAAAATAATAAGCGCCAAAGTTATGTGCGCGCGCGCCCTGAAATATGCAATTATTTCTGCTAAACGGCGGCGCTGCTGCCGCCGCCTGCCTCTGCCACTGCCACTGCCTCTGTAGTTGCTACTGTGGCTGCTACATGATGCTCCTGCTGCTGCTGCTGACGTTGGCAACTGTAAACTCGTCGAGGCAAAGTTTTATTTAACTTTCAGCGCAAAGTTTTTACATTTAATAATAATTTCTACTCACTTGCCTTGTTATGCTGATGTTCTTGTTGCTGCTGCTGTTGCCATTTCACTCTCTGCCCCCCGTTTCTCACTGGTCTCTCACTTCTCTGTTGCATGCAGCGCTCGCGAGTCTGGTTCCTGGGCGCCAATTTACAATGGGGAATTATCGATTATCCCAAAATGCAGCTGCGCCGCGATGTGCTCTTCTCCTTCGCCGATGTCCTGGGCAAGTCTTGTGCGTGTGCCGCATTCCTCGTCCTCACTAATGCTCTGCTCTCCCCTACTTTTCTTTTCAGTCTACATCGGCGGATTGGTTGGCTTCTTTCTGGGCTGCAGCGCCTTGAGCTTTACGGAGATTATTTACTATTTTACAGCGCGATTTGTCCGTCGCATGTTTTTCAATTAGGCACTCGTTCGATTCTATATACGTACGTGTATACTGTTAACCCCAATCCAATAAAAGCTACTTACGACATGTTATGGCGCAGACTGACTTTTATTTGACAAACGTAAACAAACGCCCAATCAATAATAAAATACATTTGTGCCAACTTTGCAAAAATCATTGCAGCCCCCTTAACAACCTTACCCACCACCAAACCCTCCTCCCTCCCTCCCTCCCTCCCTCCCTCCTCCATCCACTTGCCCGCTCACCATTTGCACGCATTGTCTATGAGTCTTTGACGTTGATGTTCGTCGCTGGCATTTCAATGACTTGGGCTATTGGCCCGGAACAGGGTCTGAGTCTGGTCTGGTCTGGTCTGGCCGGGCCGGGCCACTCAGACTGCCTGTCAGTTAGTCAGCCTTTGAGTCAGCGCCGACAAATTGGGACACATGCTGGCTAGTTAGTCTGGAAGAATGCCTTGTATTTTTGCTAACCTTGTCGATTTTTTATGGCCTCCCCTTCGATGAAATCAAATGAACTTTGTTATATGTATGTATGTATTTCATATTTGTTGTTTGTCATTTGGCAAATAATTTGTAGTGGCAATTTGTATTGTTCATTGAATTGTTTATTCGTCTGAACGTTTTTGTTTTTAGGTCATCAAGCATGGGGGCTGCTGTCAAAGTTGGCGCTACATGCCCCATTGATGTAAGTGTAGTTGTAGTCTGGAATTATAAATTCTTGCGTAAATGACCCGAGAGTACTTGCTTTGATTGGGAAATAGAAAGGGGTTTGACTCATTATACTGCTTTCGCTTTGAGGGAACAAGGCCAACAAGATTTCATTTCATTTTTGCTACCTCGCCTTTCTCATTTAACTAAGGATAGTTGTTCCATTAGCCAGCGACGAATTAAGCAGAAGTATTCTAGATTAAGGCGATTTGGACTTATACCATGAAGAGCAAAAAACGCATTGTTTGTAGACAGATCTGAACACAATGCGTTGATATGGAGGGCCCTAAAAACGTACCAACGTTTAATGAATCCAAGGACCCCGTAGCCTTGTTTACGATATTGGGGGACTTTCAAACTCAATTTTGTTTGAAAATGGTTAAATCCAATACAAGGAAAGGAGAAGAAAAAATAATGCGGCCAACTTTCAAGAGGAGCTCGTAATTTACTAAATCAAATCCAAATTAGTAATTCTTGGCCGATTTCTTATTAATAAGAAGAGATTTCTACATATTTACAAAGATACTGCAAATTAGAAGTAAGTTCTTTCCAAATTATTTCGAAATGACAGATAATTAATTACTTTTTATAAAGTAAAATAATAAAATAATCTTTTCAAATAAGAATCAAGTGACAAATTAAAGAGGTTTTGCAATGGTTGGCAAAATAAACTAGAACAACTAGGAAAGTTGTGTGGAAGACAGAAGTGTGGAAGACATTAAGGATTGTATATAAGAATGAATAAAAGTATTTGTATGGTTTGGATATGTATAGTATAGCTAGGTAAGCGTGCATTAGAAATATTGGAAATAATTCTGCTGTAGAAGAGTCATAGAATTTTTTGGTTTGAAAAAATGTTGCAACAAAGGTCTTGCTATTTAAAAAGTGTTCATTCTAACTTAACCATTGCGTACTTATACAAATTCGATTAGTTTTCTAAATTGCAAATTAGAGCCACAAAAAACTGTGTGCACAAAATAAATCAAGAGAAAGTAAATCGTGCATAGACTGCTGTCTGTCACACCATATCTAAGACATTCCCAATCCCATTCCAAGCTGAAAAATCAAAACACAATAGAAATGGAAATCTGCATTTCAATGGCTCTCCAAGACATGCAAATACAAGAGGATTCATATTTTTATGCAAAAACCACAGCCGGCAATAATTTCGCACTTCCAGAAAGCAACCCCTTACTTGGTTCGCAGGCGCAAAACCACAACCCCCAGCCAGCCCCATTCACACACAATCAAAACTCAAAGGAATTGTCAGCGGGAAAAGCTCTTTTTGCACCTTGGCTCAGCATCAATGGTAACCACAATTCCCGGGAGATCTGAGGCCGCAACAGACGCGACACATACATATGGGCATGAATTATACATTCGGATCTCTCAACCGTGGGTGCGAATAGGGGGGCGAAGGGAGTTATTATGTGCCTGTTTTTAATGCCCAACTACACATATGCACTTTGAAGTTGCCGATGTTGCATGTATGTGTGTATGTGTGTGTGTGTGTGTGTGTGCGTGTGTGTGTGTGTGTGTGTGTGTGTATGCGTGAAAGGGTAGCAAAAATCACTCTTCGCGCTTAAACGCATTGAAATATATTGAAATATATTGCGGATTGTGGGAAGTCGGGAAATGGGGGAAGTGGGGAAATGGAGAAATGGGGGATGTGGGTAAGCCAGCAGTGCAAACCATCAGTTTGCTGATGACCCTTATTGTTCGATAATCGCATATTAAGACATAATTCGGTCCATTATGGCGAAAAGTTCTATTGAAAATGGCAAAATGTGTATATATGTATGTATGTTAATGTTTCATATGAATTTGCATAATTTCAATTCGAGGCAATGGTACTGAAAATATGAAAGCCGTAGAAAACTGTGATATATGCAAAACAAAGGTGGGTTCAGCCTTCTTTTTCTGTATGTGACTTTTTTGCGAGCACGTGTTAAAGCAAATTCATAGCTCTGATATACTTACATATACTATATACTTATCATTACTATTTAATAAGTTTCAGTTTTCATACTCGGTACATGAAATGTACAAGAGTATATTACGTTTGCGGGAGGTGAAAAATGTAATATGCAGAACGAGGCGTGGCAGACCCCAAAAAGTATACATGTATATTCTTGATCAGCATGACAAGACGAGTCGATCTTGACCTGTCCGTCAGTCCGACACCTAGATCTGAGAGACCATAAGAGCTAGAGACACCAAATTATTATTATTATTATTATTATTATTATTATTATTATTATTATTATTATTATTATTATTATTATTATTATTATTATTATTATTATTATTATTATTATTATTATTATTATTATTATTATTATTATTATTATTATTATTATTATTATTATTATTATTATTTTATGAATACGAAGAAAATTTGTAATTCGGAATTTCCCCCCTCGCCAGAAATAAGTAATTCCCTATAATATATGTCACGTTTCATCATGATTTATAGATGTACTACGAGCCCTAACCACTATTAATTGGTACGGCAAGGTTTTTTTCGACAGTGTAACTTTCAATGACTCATATTTATTTGTAGGCGATGATTGCCCAAACATATTTATACTTTTTAAAATTTGAAAATTTGTAATTCGGAATTTCCCCCCTCGCCAGCAATAAGTAATTCCCTATAATATATGCCACGTTTCATTATGATTTATAGATGTACTATATGCTGTTGAAACTGTACGTAAACATATGTATGTCTCCACTTATGTATGTGCAGTGAAACCTCCCTTTGCCGGACACTCAGCGGCGACCAACTTTTGTTCGGCCAAGTGGAGTGTCCGGTTAATTTATTTTATTAGAGCATAATACTCGAAAAGGATTGCGCATGGCGTAATTTCTAGTGCATCTGTTAAGTAGAAGAGGCAAAAATTTCTTTGTTAGCCTGGAAGGAACAGAAAAATTAATACGACCTAAAAGCATAAAGGAATCAACATGTCCGAAAATTAATTTGTGGAAGAACAGAACACCATGAACTATCTACGGTCAGTTAACGAAGGCAAGTTAATATGGAGAAGTCTACTGAAGTAGGAAGGTAATCGCAAGTTAGGATCCCAGTTAAGTCCACTAAGAGCAAGAAGAAGAAATTGTTTGTGGACCGACCCAATGTGATCCTGATGCAATTTATACTAAAGACACCAAACACATGATCAGTATTTTAGCACTGATCGTACTAGGGAACTGTAAAGTATATTGATGGTGTAGGGGTCGTTAAATTCTCTGGACCATCGTTTAATAAAAGCAAGAACACCCTTAGCTTTGACACCGATATTGGGGATGTCAAGATTGAAATTCCATTTGGGATCAAAAATAACTCCAAGATCTTCAACTGTAGATATACGTTGCAATGGTATAATGTCAATCGCATAAGTACTTACCTAGATAAATAAGGTAAGAGGATACATATAAATTTTTAATGTTTTACCTATTTAATTTTTTGTTTATTCTATTTAAGCGATTAAAGTAAATTCAATTTATTCAATACAAAAATTCAGTTATGATTTATGCAAGTACTTACGACAATGAAAAATAAAAAGAAAATCAAAATTCATTACATAACTTTACTATATATACTATACATAATCAAAATATATGTATACTATACAAAAAAAATCAGATATTCACTGCTATTGAAAATTATTATAAAATTAAAATATTTTCCTTTTGCAACCATTTCTGAGCGAAATAACAACACATTTAATATATTTTACAATATTTCTTCAAACACTTTTAATAGTAATCGTGCAAAACTAAGAAAAATTGTGAAATAATTAAATATGAACATGAAAATATTTGCACAAATATAGGAAGTTATAGGATATTGTATAAAAATCTGCATGTGGGGATTAAACTTAATGACTTACAATTATTTTCCATACACTTGAAACGTCCATTCCCCAAAGGTTCGCGTCTAATAGCAAGCACAGCAAAAAGGCTTTATTTTTCCGACTTTAAATTGCATTCAAGAAATCTTGTGAATTGAAGTCTTACATTCGTCATAAGGTATTTTAGCCCATTACACAATTTCTGTAAATCGATTTAAACTATTTCATATCCTGACCTTCATCACAATTTTTTCGAAGCTCCATCTACCGGTTACGTTCCAATGATTTTAAAAAGAACATTTTCTAACGCTGCACACAAATCGTTTGAGGCTGCCACATAGTCGAAAAAGGAACAGATGTGTTACTCAATAGCGCAATAAACTGGTCTGAATCTAGCTAGTAATTTAAATGTATTAAAATTTTGTTGCACATAATAATATCAAATGGAAGTATGTATGTATATATGTATGTATGTATAGATACATAGGTATATTCCCAATCCTAAACCGCTCATAAGAAATTGTGCAATTAATTGTGCAATTATTAAAAAAGGGCTTAAACTATATATGTATGTTCATAATGTGGCGTATACAAACTTATTTATATGAAGGAACATATGTACACATACGATGATTACATGATTATTATTTTTATTGGATCATGAGAGCACTGACCAGTATCCCTTGAGGAAAATTAATTAAGACGGAGGTGTTGGAGGTGTGCTAAGTATCCCCTGTTAATTTTTACTTTGTACAACGGACCGTTACCCACTTTAGTCAAAACCATTTCACGAATTCATTTCTAAAGTTATCCAACACTAGGAGGGTCTGCAGCCCTGTGCATGCCTTGCCAGACCTCCCATCACCACTTTTACATTGTTTTTGCAAAGAAAAAAGGGGATTGCATATTTCCTGCAATTCTGATGTTTATTCCTATAAATTAAACAGAAACACAAGTGTAAACACATAAGTATACAATGTGAGCTCAGCAGTAAACACTCACCTAAGCAAAGCAGTGCCAAAACCACAAGCTGGCCACCTACAGTAAAGCGGCACAACAAAAACAAAAACAACTTCGCAACAATTTAAGCCAACAGTGAGAGGTGGAGAATTCGATACTCTTTGTCAAAATAGCCTAGACCAGCAAATTGATCGAAATGCACAAAAGCGCACCGCCTTGGATGCGAGAGAACATCAATGCCACGACAGCAGTAGCAACGACACTGACATCGGAAGCTTATCAGAACGCACGAGAATCCGAAACATCAACAACAGCAGAAGTGATAACGCTCAGAATGTCTGCAGCGCCAGCAACCCCCTCCAGTAATACTTACAACCGTACCCGCCCGCCCAAAGTCATATTGTCGCCATCACTGCTGCTGCTGTTCTTGTTGCTCGCTTGGCGCAGCGGCGTAAACGTGGGAGTCACAGCAACGCACATATCTGGGGAATTCCACACGGCGACCTTCTTCCAGTTCCTAAACAAGTTCGGATTCCAGAAGGCCGACCCGCCACCACTGCGAGACACGTACGGCTACATTTATGGAAATATCACGTCGCAAGATGCGTTTGTTGCACCCGTCACACTGGTTGTGCTAGACAAGGCCACCTTTGTAAACTTCTATAGCAATCGCACCTATCGCAGTCACGAGCATGCGTGTGCACGGATGTTCTCCAAACTGCAGCACATCGCATACGACGCCGACTGCAATAGACAGGGGAAACGGGACTTTCTACGTCGTGTGCCCTGTCCGCAGGGACAGCTATGCGTCGATGAAGATGCGCCCGCTAATGTCATAACGGGACATCAGTTTACATATGTCATAAACTTAGAGGCACAGCCGCGGTAAGTACAAATGTTATCGGCCAGCTTATTTCGTACTAACTGTCCTATCTACAGTTTTTGGTACGTGGCGCTGGCCGCCTGCTATCTCAATCGCAGCACGTGTCAATGGCATGCCTATGAGAACTTCCCCAGACGCAATGGTAGCTCGCGGCGGCTTTCTGCTCGCCTGCACTACGACATACATTTGGTGAACGGGCATCCAAATAATTCAGCAGTGCATCCACTCACCTTTCAATACTCCTACGATCAGCAAAATCTGCTGGAAATGTACCTCATCTTCTTGCTTGTCTACATCGTGCTGCTGCCTATGCAAATCTATGCGGTGCGTTTGCAAAAGCATCCCGTGACGAAGCTCTTTACGCTCAGTCTGCTCAGCGAGTTTGTCAGCCTGGCACTGATCACAGCGCATCTAATACACTTTGCCGCAAATGGAGTGGGAGAACCCAACATGCAGGCCGCTGGCGATGTGCTAGACATCCTCAGTCGCACCACGTTCATGCTGATCCTTTTACTGTTGGCCAAGGGCTGGGCGGTAACGCGACAGCAGATTAGCCGCACTGGCTGGATCATACTCATGTCCATATGGGTGCCATACTGTGCGTTCCACATCTTTCTGTACATATGGGATAGGGTAAGTCCAACGACAGATAAGGGATGAGCAACTCTTTATATACATATACAAGTTCTGTTTTTACACGGTAAATTGGTTCCAAAAAAAGTCGTGTAAAGAAAACCATGTAAAAAAGACATTGATCATATGCAAAATTAATCGTGCTAAATGTGATAAAATCGTGTAACCATATATAAGATTTTACATTTTCAAACCGTGTTAAATCAAAACCGTATAAAAACAGAATTAGGTGTACTCCATTGTCATTATTTGGTATAATTCGTCTTATGAACCTTCTATGCCATAAACAACATACAACTGCACTTTAAGGTGCTAAAAATCGTTTCCAATAAGCAATTTAAACTGCAACATAAATATATACATATAAAATATATATAACTCATTTATGTTGATACACATTTCCAACTTTTCGGTAATGTTTCAATAAGCTACAAAAAATGAGATTTTCAACTATTATATCTAGCTATGTCCTTAATTCGTCAAAAAGATAAAAGTACACGAGCGTATTTTTATGCTTGTTGTAATTTGGTAAAAAAATATGAAAACAACAATTTTTTATTCACTTAAGATCGTTTTTAAACAAAAGTAATACCTATTACGTATACTCCTTTAGATAAGACATGATTTTGGCCAACTGTTATGTTCGGGGATTAAATTAAACCATTAAACTATACGCTTTACCATCACATCTTTAGATTTAATATAATAATATATAATTTCTTGGTTAATTATTAATTTTTGGTAATGTTCAATGAAATTGCAGACGGAAGTAGACATCGTATCGGATATTGATGAGTATCAAACCTGGCCTGGCTGGATAGTTTTAATTTTGCGGTAAGCTCTTTCCTTCAACAAACGAAGTTGGCATTAAATTTTGACTTGTTCTCTACAGAACCTCTTTTATGATGTGGTTCTTGTACGAATTACGCAACACAATGAAGTACGAACATTCCAGCAAGAAACTCGACTTTCTCCTGCATTTGGGCGCCTCAAGTCTCGTTTGGTTCATATATTTACCGATTGTAGCGATTGTAGCGCTGCAGGTTAGTCCCATGTGGCGCTACAAGCTACTGCAGGGTATTACCAACTCGGCCGACTGCTTGGCGTATTGCGTGATGACCGGCCTGCTATGGCCCAACCGCTCGGGACAATATTTGCTGCTGGCGGGCACTAAATATGCTGGTAAGTTGGACGAAACAAATCGAAATACCAGACACGTTGTAATTTACAAATCTTCACCGACAGGTATGGACGAACTGGATGAGTTCAATGAGGCGCCACATATTGTGCGCGAACGCGAACGGCGTCGCAACTCGCCGCCCGATGACATTTCCATTAGTACTTCCGTATCGGGCAGTGGCCGCGGCATGGTGCTGTCCACAAGCATACCACACTCACTGAACGGTGACGCATGCAATGATCTGCTAGAAGCCGATGACTTAGACGTGGAGCTACTTACTGATCTAAATAAAAATAGTCATATTGTGGCATAGTTTGGCAGAGCTGTGGCAGGGGTAGTAACGGGTTAATTACTAATTATAGCCTGTACCCAAAGGGTGAAAGGCTATACTAGTTTTGTGCGCATGTATGTAACACAAAGAAGGAGGCGTGGCAGACCCCACAAAGTATATATATTCTTGATCAGGATGAGAAGCCGAGTCGATATAGCCTTGTCCGTCCGTCCGTCTGTCCGTCTGTCCGTCTGTCTGTCCGTCTGTCCGTATGAACGCAAGGATCTCAGAAAGTATAAGAGCTAGAATAACCAAACTTGGTTTCCATATTCTCCTAAGACCGAGAAAGTACGAGTTTGAGTTTTTTTTCGATGCACCCCCCCACTCCCCCGCAATTCGTGTTTTTTCTTATAACTTCCGTAATTCTCGGAATTTTGAAATCAATTTTGGTAGGTACATCCAGTTAGTACTAATGTGTCCGTGTGCCAAATTTCATCATGATAGGTCAATTCTGAAGAAAGTTATAGCCATAAGTAAAATCGCTGCTCATGTGCTGCCTCTGTCGGCAGCGCTGCCCGCAGCTGTTGTTGTTGTTGCTGCTTTGGTTCAACTTTGTGCTGCATACATACACGCATATAAACACGCATAGGTACGTGATGTAAATGTATGCTGTTAAAACTAAACATAAACATATATTCTAATTTAATTTAATTAATTAATTCATTAATTTTTTTTAATAATTTAATTTTTTTTTTTAATTTTTCTTTTTTTGTGGAGAGTACAGGCTATTTTACTGTCGGGCTTGCTCGACTGTAGCGTTCTATCTTGTTTTAGTAGTGAAATGTGCTAAATTCGAACACAAATATTATGTTGTACAGCTTAATCGAAACAACAAACATACATATATACTCTAGGTGTATATGTATTTATTATACTTTTTAGCCGCCTACAACGAAGATTAGTGAGATGTGTGATTTACGAATATGCTGATAATTAGATTATTTTCTATTATACGCCTTCAAGAAGAGAAGGTTAGTTTATTTAGTGTTATGATGCTTTATAAATTATCGTTCTATTACTATAAGTTCAAACGTTAGAGGTAAAGTTAAGTGATCTATGGCATGCAAGACATTATCATCAACAACAACAAAAACCTACAAAAGTATTTTGATAAGAACAAACAAAATAAATCCATCAATCAATTTTAGATAAATTTATATATCAATTACTGTATCAGCTTACATACCAGCCTATATATAGGCTTATATAAGCTCACGGAGTTATTTAATTACGACAATGCCAAAAATATAATGTACTCCTGGCCCATCACAACCAGTGCTCATCTGTACAGAGAAGGATTACGTGAGTACGACATAATTACTCGATCACCCAAGAGGTCGGTAGCCTCGTTGAGTAACGAAGTTATGATCGATCGCTATTTGCAAAGATCCGAAGAAGTCATTTTGCAAACTAATCTGAAATTTTGAATACAGGCTTCTTATATCTGCTAATGAAATTTTTTTATATTTTTTCATAGCAGCCACAGGCGCGATTGTGATGTTGGTTGGTACGCCAAATGATGTTTCAATTTTGGAGCCCGATGTGCTGATCAGATGGCTGTTTTGGGAACGTCATTTTTATTTCTTCTAGTACTTAAAAGCGGAAGTACTATTACAAGTTTATACTTATAAATATAAACTTCGGAGGTCGGAAGCTATCGTCTAAATTAATTACAGTTCTCAGTTACCGCGTACAACCAATTGTTTATCTTTATGCATCGTTACTCAATTTCGTTTTATAAATCTTTTGAACTAACATTTTTGTATTTGCACTCCATTTAGCAATGGGGCTGTTGAGTTTCGACCTACCAAGGAATTGCATTATTCGAATTGTTCTGAGTATAAGTAGTTTAGAAGCTCTAGCATTCGACATTATTATATAATTGAATATTAAATATAATATAATTGAATATTAAAGGAAATTATGAATATAAATATTTCTGGTATTAAGCGCACCTAATTTATTAAATATTCTGAACCCCGCTTTTACTATCTGCATAATTTCTTTACATAGACTAAGGATCTGAGATGCTTGTGATCTAGAGGCGGAAGGCCAGCTGCGTCAGGTAAAGCTTTCTTGGTATTCTTGGTCGATTTTCGAAATGCAGACTGACTATAAAATGGATGAAGCGGAATTTGTACAAACAAAAAATAATATAAAACAATACTTTTTTCAGGTTTGCCACGCCTCCTTCAAGGTGTTGCATAATTTTGCATCGAATTAGTATACCCTCTGTGTACAGGGTACCAAAATACTTTGCTTTAACAATATGTATTTTATTTAAACGCCTAACTCCTCACGGAATACGTTCTAATGGAAGTTTTGCTTATTTTGTCTTTGCATGCACCTTGACCCTTGGGGATATGTATGTATGATCAAACGAGTGGAAAAGCTAAAGTAGGGTGCCTCGACTCTGAAATACTCTGTACCTATGTGTAGGATATATATATAAAACAAATTTTGAGCCTGATTAGTGATTTTTCGGGATTTTAACTCACATAAAGGGTGTATATCTGTACATTTGTATCGGAATTGTGTCTATACGTGGCTGTGAGTGAGCATTTATGCAGAATAGACAACAACAGCTTCTGGTAGAGTTTGGCAGAGCTTACATTTATGGCTGTAACTTCCTTTGAAATTGAACTATAATTATGAAACTTGGCATTTCAAAATTCGAAGAATTACAGGAGCTATGGAAAATCTTTAAATGCGATGAGTGGGGGAAGGACGAACATTTTGGAATAAACTTCGTTTTTGAACTAAAATTTGATGGCTCTATGCCTTATAGTCTCCGAGATATAGGTGATTATACAACGGCGTTACGGAACATTCCCTAACGTTTTTCACTTCCCGCAAACTTGATATACTCTTCTACCTTTCAGGTACAGGGTATAACAATTGGGTTTAAAAGGACCTCAACAAGACTTTGATTCAGTGCCTCGAATCACTTTGTCGATAATGGACTTGTCGATGCGTGTCTATTTGACATTTCATCGCGCCATTGGCCTAGGAAGTCTATACTACGATGCACAACGGAAACGCTTTCTACTCCGTCATTCGCGTTCGCAGGTCTACTGCCTGCTTCTGGACGTGGCCTACCTAGTAGTAATGCCGTACGTGGTTTCGCTGCTCGTGGATACCTTCTATCGCTGCGAGGTGCTCGACATGTTTGCCATCGTTTTCAACGTGACGGCGCTGGCGAAGATGCTGGCGGTAGTGCTTCTGTTGCTCGGGGCGTGGTTTCGTCGGCGACCGATACAGTTCATCGCTAACGGCCTACAGAGCCTACTGGAACGCTATTGGCAGCGTTTGGACGCGGACTGTACTCAGATGTCACTTCTTCGTCGTCGCTGCCTCTGGATGATGAGCCTGATTAGTGCTCGCTTTGTGGTGCTCGCACTGCAGCTGTTCGGACAAGGAAGTGCGATCCACTGTGTAGCTCGGGGCGTGGCCGAGCCCTCGCCCTTTTATGTGACTTCAGCGCTGTTTTTACTGCTTATGGAATTGATGATTAGCTGCGCCGACTTCAGTATCTATATGGCAGCTGCATGTTCCAACACTTTGCTGGCAATGATGCGGCAGGAGGCGCAGGAGCTGGTGCAGGATTCGCAGGCGTTGCGACAAAAACGTTTCAGTTACCACGTCATATGGGAGCGTCAGCTATTGGTGGCCTGGTGCGGGCTCTGGCAGCGCTGTCTGCGTCTGTCCGCCATAATGGAAGTGATAGTGCAAAGTTTCCAATGGCAACTGCTCATTGATCTCTTTAATAGCTATGTCTCCGGAATTGCCATATTCTTTCGCTTGATGGTCTACGCCAGTGACGGGAGTGCTTTTAAACTGTCCAAGTTTTTCGTCTACGTATTTCTCTGCATCTCAACATTCGCCGAAATCATGCTGCGCTTTTTCATTTTCGACATCAATCGCAGACATTGGGAGTATTTGGAGCACCACTTTGTCCAGTTCTGGCTCCACCTACCAGAGGTGGACAAAAGTGCGCCGGGTACAGTGTTGAGCCGGCGGGTGAGCTTTCGATTATTATATTATGATTAGCCCAAATTATTTTCTTAATTAACCTTCGTATTTGTTTTATTTACTTTGCTACATTTCTTCAAATACCTTTCACCTTAAGTGGAAGGATATGTGATGATGGAAATAAAAGTTTATAAAATGGAGAGGTACAGACGTCTATCAGTAGTATCCATTTAAACAAACAAGTTCTGCCCAGACTAAGGCATTCCTTTGCTGGAACAGGTTGTTACTGAATTGTAGTTTGGGAAAATTCGACTAGCAAGTGGGAGTCATATTTTTGATGGGGAAATAAACAATTATGAAAATTATCCAGTTAGGGCGAACTTCTCTTTTTATTCCGGACACTCACAAGATACTAGTTTAGTGCGAATGTATGTAACACACACACCTCACAAAGTATACAAGTATACAGTGTAAACTCCCATAATGGACACCTCTTTTATCCGGACACTCTCTTCGGCGGACACTTTTTCTTAAAACATTCGATCGGTGTATAAAGTATTTAAGTATCCCCTTAAACGGATACTCCCGGGCGGACAAAAATTGGCCGACCGTGAGTGTCCGGCCGAGAGAGTTTTCACAGTACATACTACATCTTGAATTATAGCCATGTCCGTCCGCCTGTATAAACGCAAGGATTTCAAAAAGTGTACTAGCTACAATTTACATTCTCCTAAGTCCTAGAAAGGACGATTATACAATAAGGGGGTGGGTCCTTTTAACATTCTGAACTGTTTTCATTATCAACTTTATGCAGCAATATTTTAGGTTTATAATTTCGTTTTCAAATCCTTGTTATTACTTGTGCCGTCAATCTGGAATATTCACTTTTCATTATAATGCATTAATATCTTCAATGTTGATTCAATTTTCAGCTGGAGTTTTCGGTGCTAATGCTGGGGCGGAATTTGCAGACACAGCCCCAACGAATACGACGCCTTCAAATTGCAGGACTATTTGACATGTCGATGGAGACGGGGTTCAGCATGTACAGCTCCATGTTCATGAATGTGATCATACTTTGTCAAATCGCTTTGAAAAAATACATAGAGGATGGATAAATCCAAATAAACGATTTAAGAAGTTGTCTTAGACACATATTTATACTGCAGAACACACAGCCTGTTTATACAACATTTCCTGTTATGTGCTTCGTTCATAATCGTGTGATTGAATATTGGGATCCTTCGACATCCGCAAAATATTGTTATCTAATATAATATGTTAATATGAGGGCGAAATAAAATGCAAAACGCTTTATTTGAACTTTACCAAACAAAATTAACGGCTTTTATTAGCAGCAATACTACTTTTTCAACTTTAGGGATGGTCTCTAAATATTTATTTAAATTGCATTTTATATAAATCAATTTAAAACATGTAGGGAAGCTACAGTCGGGTGTCCCGACTTTGAAATTCTCTGTACATATTCTTAGAATAATTATAAAAATTAAAAAAACTTCGATCGATTTTACCTCTCTCGGTATTTGAACTCACGAAAAGGGTGTATAATTGCACATTTACATAGAAATTGCGTCTGTGTGAGTGTATGCGTGTCTATTCGAGTCTGTGTGATCATGTTTGCAGTCATCCCCGCCAACCACCCCAGCGGCTCGGCCCGCGGCGGGGCGGCCATCCTCATCCGCAGCAGCATCAAGTTCGAGATCCTACCGGCCATCCAAGAGGATTGGGTGCAATGCGCCCAAATTTCCGACAACACCACCCATGGCGACATCACTGTAGGCGCTTCGTACTGCCCTCCAAGGCACAGAGTCAGAGTCAGTCAGTCAGTCTGCCACTCCTCCTTCTGCCTGTTACATTTTCAGCTCCCGCAAACCTAATATACTCTTCCACATTTCATGTACAGAGTATAAAAATGAAATATATTTAAAATATATTTACAAACAAGTAGTTAAGCTATAGTCGGGTATCCCAACTTTGAAATACTCTGTACATATGTGTAGAATAATTATGCGTGCATGTGTGTATTTGTGTGTGTCTGTGTATGTCTCGTGTGCCCGAGCAAAGCAGTAACAACAACAGCTGCGGGCACTACTTGGTCTTATGTACATTTATGGCTATAGCTTCCTGTTAAATCGGCCTATCATGATGAATCTTAGCATTTGGACTTATAACTAAATGGAGGTATTTGCCAAGTTTGACTTCGAAATTCCAAGAATTACGGGAGTTACGATTTGCAGGGCAGAGGGGGGAGAGAGGGAAATTCCAAAATACACATTTTCTGCGTATTCACATAAGGCATCTTTGTGCGAAATTTGGTGTCTCTAGCTCTTATAGTCTCTGAAATCCAGGTGTTCATACGGACAAACGAACAGACTGACAGACGGACAGACAGGGCTAGATCGACTCGTCTCGTCATGTTGATCAAGAATATATATACTTTGTGGGGTCTGTCTGTTAAATTGTCAGCTCCCGCAAACCTAATATACTCTTGCAGATTTTATGTACAGAGTATATAAAATGACTGATTGAATATGTTTTCAGTAAAGTTTACATTGTTTATATTTGATTTGGATATGAATAAATTATAGTTTAAAGGTGCTATTTATTATATTTTCACAATGACTTTATGACTTTAATATTATAAACAGCTCCTACTGAAATAATTTAACATTTACTATAAAGCACCCCACGCTTTTATTTTACTATAATTGAATTATTTTATTAATAATTCAATTTTTATTTTAATCTTATTCCAAATTAATTAGTCGTAATTGATTGTTGGAATTTTCTATTTCTGTAACACAAGCTCTGGATACTTAAAAATTATTTTCTACTTTTTAGTTCGGTTTGCCATTTAAGTGTGTTTTTTAGTTTTTTAAACTATAATTTATCTTCTTAATTTTTAGTCTCAAAAAGATGTCAAAAGCATTTATATAAACGAAGAGCCTTGTCTTATGTTTGACAATAAATCTAAATTCATTTCATTCATGTTTACATAACCTTTCCATTTCATCTAACGCATCACTATTACATGGAACTTTTCCCGTTAGCTTCGAGCAATCAAGTTCTTCTATTCGAATACCATTGAGTGATCTTCCGCGACTCGGAGCTACATAAGCCTGACCGGCAGCAAACAATCGAGATCCCAGATAAATAACTGCATGATCTACCGTACAGCCTTGTGTACGGTGGATGCCAACTCAGGATTAATGGCAGCATTCGTCTTTCAGCGGTACCATAGCTATATTTTGCTGGAAACTGTATTGATATTGGATTAATTAGATCTATACCATCTTGACCAGAGTCAATACGGACTGATGGTATGTCTGAATCATATACTTGATCCCGACGAAGATGTGGCCAAATAATTTCAGTGATAATACCCGTATTACCATTTACTAAACCTTTTGCCATGTCAATATTCGATCTCAACATTACTTTAGCTCCCACGAAAATGTTCAATACTTTAGGAAGACCACCCGTATTGTTAATATCATTAGGTATAACAGAGTCCACATTCTTATCACCTAAATTTCGTGTAGCATCAATAAGTTGATCTTGTGCTTTTATTGTAAAAATATTTGTCCCTTTTTTCTCAAAATACTGAAGAACTTTTTCACTATGCTTAGCTACGTGATCATTCGTTGTGCAGATTCTTAATGCGTTATCAATTGAGAATTCATTGTTAGCATCTGTCGAAACTGTTTCTAGAACTATTGTAAGATGCTGAGATGTCAATTCTCCAATCCTCAAGGCGTTCAGTACATCAATGAATGTTGTGTCTCCTTGTTGGCGCATATTTTGTTTTAGTTCAACCAGGTGGAAGAGCAGCCATAAATGTGTATTGTTGAAAAATCACCGAATAATAAAATGTTTATCCCTCCAAAACAAGCATTTGACCTTTCCAATTGTCGCAGACGAGAGTCAATCATACAGAGCATCTCGTAAGGAACCATAGAAATTTCATCTATAAAAAGAAATGCTACGTGTTGCCATAGTTGACGCATTAGTCTTAAACAGTTACCAGTTAGAATTGGCAAATTGACGATGACTCCATCTTTTTGTACACGTAATTTTAGCAGACGGTGTAATGTAGATCCACCGACTAACCGTGCTGCAACTCCAGTGAGGGCATCAACTTTCACTGCTGATTTTCCATAACACCGGTTTACTGGGTTTTTCAATAAATTAAACACGAAAGTTTTTATATTTACAATAGTACCTGCATGACCGAAATATTCGCCTCAGTACTAATTCGCGAGTCATGGCAACCGAGTAATGATATCGGCGCGTGAACGTGCACTTGAATCCAACAAACCTATTAGCGAAAAGAAATACTTTCCTTTTTATTTAAATAACAAGAAAGGAATGCTAAAGTCGAGCAGGCTCAACTCTTAAATACCCTGTACCACCCCACAAAAAAGTAATTTAATTAATTAATTCATTTAATTTAATTAATTAACTAAATTAATTTAATTAATTAACTAAATATTATCTAATTAAATATAAAATATTCCATGCATGCATAGATACATTTACATTTACATCAGAATCATGCCTTATGCGTGTTTGTGTACTTGTACATATGTATGTATGTATGTGTGCATTGGGCCTGGTTATATGGCTATAACTTTCTTTTCGATCATTCTATAATAATGAAACTTGGTATACGGATATATAATTACTAACCTAATGTGACTACTAAATTTTAGTTCAAAATTCCAAGAATTTCGGGAGTTATAGAAAATTGGTAATAGGGGGGGAGTGGGGGGTTGGATCAGAAAAAATGAACAAACTCGTCCTTTCTCGGTCTCAGGAGAATCTGTATACCAAGTTTGGTTATTCTAGCTCTTATACTTTCGGAGATCCTTGCGTTCATACAGACAGACAGACGGACAGACAGACGGACAGACGGACAGACGGTCAGACGGACAGACGGACATGGCTATATCGACTCGGCTTGTCATGCTGATCAAGAATATATATACTTTGTGGGGTCTACCAAGCCTCCTTCTGTGTGTTCCATGTGCACTCGCACAAAACTAATATACCCTTGTACCCTTTGGGTACAGGGTATAAAAATAGTTATGATATTTTAATTTATATTAATTTGTTTACTTTAAGATATTTGAGTTCCTTTTTTAAGAAATAAAATCATGCTACATATCATAATATGAAAACAAGTAAAAAAGCTAAAGTCGGGTGTCCCGACTTTGAAATACTCTGTACATATGTTTACAATAATTATAGAAAATAAAAAAATTAAGAAAATAAAAAAAAAAATTTGATCGATTTTACCTCTCTCGGTATTCGAACTCACGTAAAGGGTGTATAATTGCACATTTACATAGCAATTGCGTCTGTGTGTGTGTATGTATGCCTATGCGCATCAATTCGTGTCTGTGTAAGCATTTTCGCAGTCAACCAAACAGCAACATCAACAACAGCCGCGGGCAGCGCTTGAGCAGCGCTGCATCAGCAAATATATTTATGGCTATAACTTCTTGTTAAATCGGCTTATCATAATTAAATTTGGCATACGGACACATAATAACCAACTGGGGGTATTTCCAAAATTTTAGTTCGAAATTCCAAGAATTACAGGAGTTAGAGAAAATCGAATTTGCGGGGGAGAGGGGGGAGGGAGGGAAATTCCAAAATATACATTTTCTGCGTATTCACACAAGGCATCTTGGACTAAAATTTGGTGTGCCTAAGTCTTATAGTCTCCCAGATATAGGCGATTATACAAATGGAAAATCGGGAAAACCCCCATAGGGGGGAAGTGGGGGGGAAAATCAAAAAAATAAAACAAACTCGTATAGAATACACACATAACGCATCTTTGTGGAAAATTTGGTGTCTCTATCTCTTATAGTCTCTGAGATCCAGGTGTTCATACGGACGGACAGACGGACAGACAGACAGGGCTAGATCGACTCGTCTTGTCACGCTGATCAAGAATATATATACTTTGTGGGGTCTGCCACGCCTCCTTCTGCCTGTTACATTTTTCAGCTCCCGCAAACCTAATATACTCTTGTACATTTCATGTACAGAGTATAATCAATAAATATGTTTTGTTTTAATTCTGAGC